CATAAACGTATTTCTTGGTAAAGAATTGTTGCAAGCATCAATTTTGAATAAATTAGCTTTAATATTTACTGATTTATCGAAGATTTTGTATTTCTCTAAATTACCGTTATATGGAATGTGGGCGTGGTTATTATCCGATTTTAAAAATTATCGGCCATTTGGTATGCTGTACCAAGGCCAACAACTGTGTTTGGAAGAATATGGTGCAGCGGTTACCAAGATATACACATGTAACCATAAGTGTACACGGACGGACGGACAGACAGATATGGCTTAATCGACTTCTCTATTCATTTTGAGCATTTATGCATACTTTTGTCCATATTTATTTTATTTATTTATCAGCCATCATCTAACATTAATTAAGTCTAAATTTCAAACTTTGCATAAAAATTAGAAAAATTCAACAAAATGGTATAACAACAGCAAGCTTTTTAATAAGAATTTTTATAAAAAATTGAAGTATGCCATTTTATAGTCCATTAAATTCTTGCTAACTTGATAAAGTGCACATTTCAAGTGGCTAAGAATTCGCGTTGATTTTTCATAATTTTTATTTTCTTCCATACAAAAAAATTGTCGAACATAATATACTTTGTATGGAAGAATATTTTTGAAGCCCTTCTCGTTACCGCCCATCCTGGGCATTTTGAAATCAGTACCGTCGGTTTCGCGGCTTCCAATATGCAGCGCTCATTTCTAATTTAAAGTTGAATTCTGTAAATTACTCATACGCCGTGTACTACTATACATAAAAAAATTTAAAACCACAATCGCATTGCGAATTTTATAAATATATGCCTATATAATATCGATACTGATGTTTAATGCTAGTCATGCTTCAAATCCGAATATTATGTGGTTAAGGTACATGGCTTGAATCTTATAGAGGAAATGCAGCATGCGGTTGTCAGTAGCACATTGTCACTTCTGGATAACGAAACATTAGTCATATATTTGTGACTACATTCTTTAGTATTTATTACTCATACCTCGGAGATATATGAACGTTACATACAATCTTAATATAAAAATTTTTGACGAGTATACATACTACATACATAGCTTAAAGTTTAATTGACAGCCCAAAAACACACAATTTTATGTAGTAGGTATGTAGATACCATCATCAATGCAAAATGCCCAATTATACAGATTTGAAATGTATACAAAGCTTTTTTTTATGATATCAATGAATACCGTATTTCGAAAGATTTCGGTTTGCATTGTGGTGAGGAGGTGTATCTGAAAGTACTTACGAGTAAATTAGAGAAATATTAAAAGCACATAATAAAAGCACATATAAACATATGTCAAAAAAGATATTTTACATTGATGGTGATGATATGAGGAGTGTCTTATCAGTAATAGCAGAAAACGAAAATACACAAACCCAAAAAAAGTGTTGGAAGTGGAGATATCATTTTTGCATAGACTCCTCTCATATGTAATCTGACACCCGAGTTCATAAAATTAAAATAAACTTAAAGTCGTTATTTTTAATTGCGTTTCCCCTCATTTTATTGATTTTGTTTTCAAAACTGTCCGAATAAAATTGTATGCAATTCGGACTACGGCAACCCCTGTCGACTGTTATCGGAATAAACTTAATGCAACTACAACTCGCGTGTTTTGTTAATTTACTCATTTTTCTTCTGTATAAGATGGTATTACTACTCTCTACAGTATCAGGACATAATATTGACTAAATCTGCGTTTTTGGTTGTTTACCCGGTAGTCGAAATTTTTTCCAAAGGACCACAAATTTGAATATATTTCAAAAAGTTTACACCACATATGGATATATGCCTATCAATTGAAAGACGAATTCGAAACAAAATTAATTATAACCTTTGCTTTCAATTATCCTTTTGGAAGATTTCAAGATTTTTAATTTTGTATGAGTTTTGAAGAATCTTAGTATAATTTAAATCCTATTAATCTATATATATATATATATGTAAGGATACTAAAAGATACAAATTTTAAACGATATTTTTCTAATTTTTTAACTAATACTGCCACATATATTACTTAATCAACCCGAGATGACAACGCAAACACTAAAACACTTAATTTTGTTTATTTTTTTTAAAGTAGGAAAAGTATTTGTCAAAAAAGTTTAATATAAATATTTAATGTTCATCATACGCCCTGTCAGACCACATACAAATTAGTCTACAATTTCATATTTCATATGGGAAACTTGTCGAACGTTTTGCATTTCCAAAGTTTTCGTGGACAACTTGGTAGTCTTGATTCAAGTTTTTAACAAAAACTTTCAACTAAAATTCGGCACGGGTTATCGTTATCCTACGGCCATAAAACTTCATATATATTCTATTTAGGCTAAAAAGCTTAAAAATAGAGGGTATGCATATACAAATTTGCAAACAAATTTTTTTCCAAATATTCTTGGGATAGTCTTATGTGGCATATATACATATATATTTATGCTTAACGTGTAAAAACCACAAGCAAGGACGATTCCATTTAAAAAGAAGTAATTTTGATTTATTCATAAGCACACATAAAGTTTGTCGCTTATAGCTCCAAACAAATTTTCAGAGCGGATACGTATGCGTGCAAAAAAACACGCCTTATATTACTCACGGACAGCACATTTTTACAATAATAATAACCCAACCAATGTATTTGCAGGAAAAGACAGATGTAGACAATTCATTACACATTGTAAGTAGTTAGGGAGGAAACACGTGCAACAATTTTGACCAATTCACATCGATCATCCGATTGTTGACGACACCCAATGCTTACCCGAAAATCAATGCCTACTGTAGTTATGTAGTAGTTTGGAATATATTTGCCGTCATAAAATCTGATGAGAATGGATGTTTTTCCAACCCCTGAATCACCCAACATGATCACCTATTACCGAGCCAACCAAAATAGGAGAACAAATACCAAATGAAAAAATAAGTGTATTTTTTTTGCAGTTATAAAAATGTAATTGTTTGGCCGAGCTTCTCCTCCGACTTGTGGGGTGGGCCTTGATGTTGTCACACAATGCGGAGGGACCCCTACAGTTTTACGCCGACTCCGAACGGCGATTGTATTTTTATGAGAAGCTGTTTTTCATGGCAGAAATACACTCGGAGGTTTGGCATTGCCTGCCGAGGGACGACCGTTGTTAAGAAAAAAACCTTTTTCTATATTTTTTGGGATGTTGCTCGGGGAGAAGCTCGGCCAAACACTAACATATGTGTAAGCGCCAATCTATTATTATTGTTATAAAAATGTAAAGGATAAAGGTGTTGGTTGAAAGGAAATATTTTTGATACGTTATTATAATGAAATATCCTTTTTAACAGTTTTACCTTCTTTTTATATTTAGATGTGTAATTTTAATTTTAATATCTGGATTAAAACGTTTCCTTCAAACAATTCTTTCACTAATTAGGCTAAAAACATATGATAAGTCCAAAAATGAGAATCGATTACGAAATTTGCCAAAAATCTCTCTAATATCAAGTGCAATGAACCTATTTTGGTGAATGAGTGACCAAAAACTGAGAGTTATTTTACGTGAATAACTTAAGCTCTCTCTCAGTCCAAAGTTGCAGTATTTGGTTCAAAGTTTTACTTAAATTCAATGAAGCTGTCAAATGATCAGCGATGTTGCATTTGTAAATAAAAAATTAATGCGGTAATGAAAGAAAAGAAAGAAGAAAATTGAAATCTCCAACGAAGCATTTGGAAGGGTAATAATATCAATTGACTTTATTTCGCATCAATATGCGAAATAGTGCCTATTGACCTTATTTCCGTTGATCTTGTTACCTGTCACCAATATTCATCAACTCAATCGGATATAAAAGTTAAATACATGCAGTTTTAAGTGGCATCGTTAATGCAAAGGATATTTACACACTAGGAATGTTAGTCACGAGATCCCAGTCTTTTTGAAGTCCCGAAAATCCCGGAA